CTATGTTCTTCAAGAAAAACATGCTACTGGAAAGGGGGAAATGTACTTAATGTTCCCATATTGTTTTTCTGTTACAAATGACCTCAGTCAACTCACAGCTAATGTTTTCAAACATCTAAATCTATCCTTTCTTATGAATTTCTTAAATATCAAAGAATTATCTTCATGTATCTAAGTAATTAAATGATTTGTGTTCAGAAAATAACTTGAGGGATAAGTGGGGCTGGAAATATGATAGTCAATGATGTAAGGGGAAAAGTTGATCAAGATGCATTGTATTCGTAAACTGATTTACTGAATTGAAACCATTTTGCACAATACTAAATAAAAAATTAAAAAATTTCCTCTTCAGAGAAATCTCTGTTTAAGTCTTCAGCCTACTTAATAACTGGATGGTTGTTTCTTTAAGGATTTGTTTTGGGGGGATTTAAATTTTTGAATTGTAAGTATATTTTATTTTTTACTTTTTTTTTTTGGTCGGTCATGGGTCTTGAATTCTGGGCCAGGGTTCCGTCCCTCAGCTCTTCAGCTGGAGGAGAACAAACTACTACTTGAGCCACAGTGCCACTTCTGGTTTTCTGAGTGGTTTATTGGAGATAAGTGTCTTATTGAGTTTCCTGCCTGGGCTGGCTCTGAACTGTTATCCTCAGATCTCAGCCTACTGAGAAGCTAGGATGACAGGCATGAGCCACCAGCTCACGCTATACTTAAAGTACTGATATTTTAGATAAGAGGCCCTTGTCTGTTGTATAGCTAGTGAATGTCTTCTCCCAGTTTGTGGGCATTCTATTGATCTTGCTAGCTATGTCCTTTGCTTTGCAGAAGGTCTACAGTTTCATGCAATCCCTTTTGACCAACCTTTCTTTGATTTGTTGAGTTTCTGGGTCTCTATTAAGAAATTTTGGCCTGTGCCAAGGAGCCCTAGAATTTCTCCTATTCCTTCCTGTATTATTTTCAGGGTGTCTGCTTTTACTTCGAAGTCTTGGAATTGATTCTGGTGTAGGGCGATATAGAAGGATCTAATTTTAGTTTTCTACAGGTATTTAAACAGTTTTTCCTGCACCATTTACTGAAGAGACTATCTTTCTTCCATTCTATTTTTTGGCCACCTTATTAAAGATTAGGTGGCTCTAAGTCTGTGGGTTCATTTCTGGATCTTCAGTTCTATTCCACTGGACTTCAGATCTATTCTTTTTCTAGTACCAAGCTGTTTTGATTACTATGGCTTTGTAGTAGTTTAATGTCTGGGATTGTTATTCCTCCAGCACTGTTCTTTCTGCTAAGAATTATTTTTGTTATTTGGGGTCTTTATTGTGCCATATGAATTTTGGGATTGTTTCTTCTATTTCATTGAAGAATGAGGTTGGTATATTGATGGTTATTGCATTGAATTTGTAGATAGCCTTTGGCAGCATTGCCATTTTCACAATATTAATCCTCCCTATCCAGGTGCCTTGGAGGTTTTACCACTTGCTTAGTTTTGGTTTAATTTCCTTTTTTAGGTTTTAAAAGTTTTCATCATAGAGGTCCTTCACTTCTTTAGTTAAGTTTATTCTGAGAGATTTCTCTGAAAAGGAACTAAGTATGGCCAGTAAACACATGAAGAAATGCTCAACTTCTCTGGCCATTAAAGAATGCAAATCAAAACAACATTGATATTCCACCTTACTCCAGTTAGAATGACTATAATCAAAAAATCTAATTATGACAGATGTTGGAAGGGATGTGGTCAAAGGCAACCCTACTGCATTGTTGGATGGAGTGTAAACTTGTTTAGCCATGTTGGAAAGCAGTATGGAGGTTCCTCAAAAGAAGCCACATAGACCTCCCTATGACTTAACAATCCCATTTTGGGGCATTTACCCAAATGATCACAAACAAGGCCACACTAAAGCTACCAGCACAATTATGTTTATTGCCACATTTTTCACCATAGCTAAGATATGGAACGAACCCAGATGCCCCACAGTAGATTAGTGGATCAAGAAAATGTGGTACATATATACAATAGAATTGTATGCCTCCATCAGAAATAACGACACCACCCCAATTGTTAGGAAAAGGAAAAATTTGGAGTAAATCATATTAAGTGAAGTTACCCAGTCCCAAAGAAATTTAGGTCCCATGGTTTCCCTTATTTGCAATAATTAGTATGCATACAGGATAATATATCAGATGAGCTGAAAAGCTAAAAAACCATGTACAAATGAATATATAAGATGATGCTAAGTGAAATGAACCCCAATATATGGACACAAGAGTTCTGTCTTTATTGTTATTGTTTTAAATATACTATGTGATTTTATTTTTTGTTGTTTCCTTTTGTTGTTTCCTTTGTTCTTTCCCCTATGGCTTATCCCTGCTTTCACTGTACTTGATTTTGACATCCTGAATCTTGTATAATATATGTATATATATATATATATATATATGTCTAATTTGGGGAGGGGAAGGGGGAATAACAAAACACTGAAACAAGGACACAGGATGACCCATTGAGATAAGGATACTCACAGGACAGTATAGTGGAAAGGAACTTTACAACTTAGGGCAGTGAGGGTGGGGGATGGGGCAGGTGTGTGGGATGTGGGGGAAGGAAGGGATAGTGGGACAACAACAAGGAAGAGAAGGAGTAAAAATGATCCGCAAGTAATGTACTCATTGCCTACTCATGTATTTTAACCCTCTGTATATCTTAACAATAAAATAAAAATTTAAAAATATTAATGTATTATTTTCATGCATGGAATCTCTCTCTTTCTAGCTTAAAAAAGGGGTTGTTTAATTCCACTTTCCTTACTACTAATTTAGCCAGCTGCATGTTCTTAGATATTCATAAATTATATAAAAAAGAAATGAGATGGTTTATTTCCATTTTAGGTACTAATAATTTAGCCAACGGGAAGTTCCCAGATATTCAAAACACAGGCAGTTTTGCTAACCTGTAGCTACACAACATAGAATTGTCTCATTCATGGTTATTTATATGGAGCTGGTTTGCCTTTAAAAGAGGCTTTGTGAGTAATATTCAGAAACATTATTTCAGTCCTCTATACACTTTTTTTTACTGCATGTAGTGTGTCAATTCAGAATTATGAAGCAGGTATTAAAGACAATGAGGATCATTGTAGAACTTAGGTTTTCTGTCTTAATGCTTGGATTCACTTCATCATAAGATGCATCTATTTTAGCTGCACCCTTTTCTGAAGAAGATCCAATTTCATAATCCTGCTGGAGACAAAGTGATTTTGAATGAGAAAGAGAAATTAGATACAGACTATGACATTGTGAACAATTGGAATTTTCCAGAAGGCCTTGAATTTAAGGTGAAAGTAGGACTATTTTCTCCATATGCTCCACAGGGTCATCAACTGTCAATATCTGAAGATATGATAGAGTGGACCATAGGAACTACTGAGGTGAGTTGGACCTAACTACAATGATTTTAACTTCATGGAAGCAAAATAATCCCTATATTTTAAGCCCCCCTATTCTCATTAATTATCCAAGCATTGGATAATTATTACCATCTAGAGGAATTTTCTTATTTGTTGTCTCCAGGAATGAAAAGGTATATATGAATTCTAGGTTTCTAAACTTTATTGTATTTAGTGAAAAATACAAGTGACATGCTATAGTAGTTTTCTAATATGCTGACAAAATTCCTGAGTAATCAGTTCATAAATAGAAAGGTTCATTTTGCTCCACACTGTAGTTGTTTTAGTCTAGCCTTACTTGATCTGTAATTTATGCATCAGGGTGACAGGAATCAGAAAGATTTTTTTCTGTATCAGAAGATTTTTACTTCTTGGTAATTGGAAAGCAGAGAGGAAGAAATGTGGGTTTCACATAACCTTATGTAGGGGAT